CTTATTCGACTACACTGCAACATGCCTGCTGAAAAGGGGGGGGGGGGGGGGAATCTACTCCCAAATGTTTATTACCTATATGATGTCTATCAAAATTTCATTGACCCCCCCCCCCCCACCCCCCGGTTCCAACACCTACATGTATGTTTATACGTAAAATAAATTTATAAAAACCAAAACAACAAATATTTTAAATGCTTTAGATAAAGTCTAGAGAAATATATACATGCATGTATAGAGAGAGAGAAATCAAAAGTAGGTCAACTCAAAAAATTTGGGCAAATTTTGGATTACCTTTGAACAAATTGTGGTAAGGCATGCATGGATCAAAGGGGATCTAGATCCCTGCAAAGTTCAACTTTATTATGCCCCCCCCCCCAAACAAAGTTTGGGGGTATATAGGAATCAGCTTGTCCAAGGACTGTTATCTGTCCTGTCCATCTGTATTTCAAAAGTGTCCAGTCCATATCTTCTTTAATGAGGAACATTAGAATATACTACTCCACACAAAGATTGCCCATGACCTTAGGGTGTGTCATGACCTTGACCCAAGGTCATTTGGGGAAGTTCAAGGTCACTGAAAAAAAAAATTATTCGTGTCCGGTCCACATCTTTCTTATGGATAAACTTGGCATGTTCTTATTTCACACGAAGATTTCTCATGACCTAAGATTGTGTCATAACCTTGACCCAAGGTCATTTAGGGAAGTTCAAGGTCACTGAAAAAAATTTCATAATTCGTGTCCAGTCCATATCTTTCTTATGGATAAACTTGGTAGGTTCTCATTTCACACAAAGACTGCCCATGCAATAAGAGTGTGTCATAACCTTGGGCCAAGGACATTTGTGGAAGTTCAAGGTCACTGGAAGAAATATTTCATAATTTGTGTCCGGTCCATATCTTTTTCATGGATTAACTTGGTATGTTCTTATATCACACAAATATTGCCCATGACCTAAGATTGTGTCATGACCTTGAGCCAAGATTCTTTAGGAAAGTTCAAGGTCACTAAAAAAATTTCATAATTCGTGTCTGGTCCATATCTTTTTTATGGATAAACTTGGTATGTTCTTACAAAGACATGTTTCACACAAAGACTGTCCATGACTTAAGGGTGTGTCATGACCTTGAACCAAGGTCATTTTGGGAAGGTCAAGGTCACTGAAGAAAAAATTCATAATTCGTGTCCGCTACATATCTTTCTTATGGATGAATTTGGTAGGTTCTCATTTCACACAAAGATTGCTCATGACCTAAGAGTGTGTCATGACCTTGACACAAAATCATTTGGGGAAGTTCAAAGCCACTTGAAGAAAAATTTTTATTATTTGTGTCTGGTCCATATCTTTTTTATGGCTAAACCTCAATCTACTACTTCACACAAACCTTGCTAATTATCTGATTTTCTGTCATGACTTTGATCCAAGGTCATTAATGCAAGTTCAAGGTCATGGACAGAAAAAGTTCATAACTCGTGTCTGGTCCGTATATTTAGTCTGGTTTTTTTTATTACGATGCGCCTTCGTTTCATTTATGAAAATATTATGAGCAATTACATTTGCATTAAATACGGTATGTTTAAGCATTTCTCTCTTCTCTTAGATCCATTAAATATTCATGATTTAGCACCTCTGAAAAACCTAGCGGGGGTATTTAGTCCCGTTTAGACAGTTCTAGTTTAAACGGACACAGTGATTTGAGCCACCGCCTCCTAGGGAAAATTTTCTGGATCCACCTAACAAAAAAAATTCAATCGGGCTCGGGCTGTCGACCTGAATATAAACGATAATGCTTAATTCATTAAGAAAATCGCTGTCATTTGAGTGTTTTAATGCAGGGAGAACATACTTTTGTGATACATGTATTGGAATGAGGTGGACGCGTTGGCGCGCCGAATACAATTAGCCATGTCAGTTACAGCTAATGAAAGTTTGACCGCAAATTTCATATCCCTAATTTGAGAAAAACGAACGATTCTTTATTTTCCTGATTATTTATAAATATGTGTTATTATAGGCAGAAATGTAAAAATACCCTTAAACATTATTCTTATACACTTTAGCTAAAGCTTTTTCATACTCGTTAGTCATATTCTGTCAATAACAAATAAAAGCCGTTTGTCTGCACTTTGACCATCCCTGGTGTTAGGAAAAAAAGTGCGAAAGTCTACATTTTCTCGAGAATTTGCAGCATGTCTATTTTCAAACATGTGTTACTATAAATAGAAATAGAAACCTCTGCTTCTCATTCTGTATTTCATATATGCTTTCTTATACTTGTTGGTCATTGAATGCCAATAGCAGTAAAAAACATATTGTCTGCAATTGTTCATCCAAAATGTGAGAAAAAAAGTACAAAAAAACTACATTTTTCCAGATAATTTACAGTATGTCTATTTTTAAACTCATGTTACTATAAATAGAAATGGAAACCTCTGCTTCTCATTCTGTATTTGATATAAGGCTTTCTTTTACTTGTCACCATATGCCAATAGCAGTTAAAACTTGACAGTCAGCAATTCTTCATCCAAAATTTTTGAAAAAAAGTACAAAAAATGACATTTTTCCGATATTTTGCATCACGTCTATTTTTAAATTCATGTTACTATAAATAGAAATGGAAACCTCTGCTAGCTTCTCATTCTGTATTTCGTATATGCTTTCTTTTACTTGTTGGTCACTATATGCCAATAGCAGTTAAAAACATAATTAGTCTGCAATTGTTCATCCAAAATGTGAGCAAAAAGTACAAAAAGTGACATTTTTCCGATATTTTGCATTACGTCTATTTTTAAACACGTGTTACTATAAATAGAAATGGAAAACTCTGCTTCTCATTTTGTATTTGATATATTGCTTTCTTTTACTTGTTGGTCACCATATGCCAATAGCAGTTAAAAACAAATAGTCAGCAATTATTCATCCAAAATTTTAGAAAAAAGTACAAAAAACGACATTTTCCCGATATTTTGCATTACGTCTATTTTTAAACATGTGTTACTATAAATAGAAATGGAAACCTCTGCTTATCATGCTGCATTCCATTGAATGTTCTTTTGTTCTTGTCAGTCACATAATATCAGTTACATTTAATGACAGTAAGTCGGTAAATTTCCCATCTCTAATTTGAGAATTGGTGGAAAATCAACATTAAACAGTTAATTTCATATGTGTCTATTTTTAGACATTTGTACTATTTATAGAGATGAGAGCCTGTCCTCAATAATTTGTGAGATATTATACTATTCCTTGTTCTTATTGATGAAATATTGGAGAGATCCATATTTTTATTATTTATGATTCAGTGGAGCTTCAAAATGATGGAAAATTGACATTTTTCATCATTTTATGAGACATGTCTATATTTAGGCATTTGAAGCTATAAATAGAAAACGGAAATCCCTGAAAATAATATGCATGGTAGTTATTGGTGTCCAGTCTCTGACATTAGCATATTGACTTTTACAGTATATTTCATAATTACCTAGCAATGGCATCTTAAACTCTGCCCAAATTTCATTTTTTGGATTTTTCTGAAATATGTCTATTTTTAGATACATGTTACTAAAAATAGCATTGAGATCCCACTCCAATTTTTTCATGAGGGGACACTACTAATACTGACGTTTGACGACACGCATATGATTTGAAAAATTTCCGTAGACAATTTTTTTTATTTAACCTTAAATTTCTCAAAAAATGCCAAATTTTCCATTTTTCACATTTTGAGAAACTATGCTATTTTGCAGAACCGTTTTCTAAGAGTGGGGTCAATTCTGGAATAACTGGTTATATGCCCTGTATTCTTTAACAGTTGATGTTTTCTTATGATACAAAGATTTATATTTGAGTTCACTACATAAAGATAAAAATGCATTCATATTTCCTCAATTTTCATGTTTTTGTTTGGTCAAAAATGGCCGAAAATGGCCAAATTCAATGGATCCGTCTCCATGGCAACCGGGTGCACGTGGGAAACTTCTAACACCATATTTGCTGGTTTTGTACCAAGGTGCACCTGTGGTGCAAATTTCATCAAAATCGGAGATATGTCGTTTCCAAGATTTTTTGGTGCTTACAGAGAATGCATGCTCACAACGGGTAACACAACGGTTTGAAAGAACCGGAATTAACTTGACGTCAATAAAAGCTTGCGTCCGATATCGCTTACTTGAAAACAACAAACGACAGACGATACCTGCTTGCGAGTGTAGGAAACATGCTTGCGAGCCAGAAATAACGAAACTTTATATGATAAATGACTCGAATTCGAGTATCAAACAAACAATAAGGAGATTAGTGAACCGGTGAGTGTGAAACCTTTCTATACATGAACGTTAAGACGATCGACGGTTTTTTTTTTTTTTTTTTTTTTTTTGCTGACGTCCTAAATCAATAAGACATTTAGTATAATAAAATAAATGGCGCCTGTTTTGTAGGGTAACATTTGAAATTGACACCCCTCGGAAAACCATTGTTAACCTCCGCTGACGCGTCGGTTGACAATGGTTTTCCTTGGGGTGTCAATTTCAAATGTTACCCTACAAAACAGGCACCATTTATATAAAAAGGATTGGCGTCGGAATGAGAAGGGGGTGGGGCTACATGAAAGAGACAAAAAAAAATTTACAAACGCGAAATCCCATTTATTGGTAGGGGTTGGGAGAAGGGGGGATTAAGATTAAACTTCTATCAGTTCCAGACTTGTTTTCAAATTCTTTCATTACACTACAACGTGCCTGTTGAAAGTGGGGGGGGGGGGGGCAACCTTATGCACCAATGTTCAATACCTAAATTATGTCTACATTTACAAAAGCGTGTGTGTGGGGAGGGGGTTAGAAAATAAAAAAGTTTGACGATATTTATGATAAGGAATTTAAGAAATTACGGTAATGCATTAAGCACCCCGCCCCCGGTTCCGACGCCTATGAAATGTAAATACATGTGTTACATAATATATTACATCTGTTTCATGATCAAACACATGTATTCTTAAACAGGTAAAAGCCAGAGAAAGAATATAAATGAGGACTTGATAAATTGTGGGAACCTGTACAGGGACATTGAATTTTTGCAAACATTTAACATCAAAGGTACTTTTTTTTAATTATAGCTATGTATTACATAATACAGAATTTTACTTTCATAATTCGAATTAATTTTTTTTATATTTTCTTTAAGACTGGTTAGACGAAAGAAATAAAGTTGCTATAAACTTTATAAGGGGATGTTGTGGAGAAGCATGTAGCGAGGTTTCTATGGCAAAAACTTTGGAATCATTATATGGGTGTAGAAATCAGAGATTTGTATCGCCAATTTCGTTTGCTCAAAGTTTAATTGGGTATGTAATAAAACATTTGAAATATTTGCGGCTGTTTAAAAAATTTACTTTATATGTAAAAAACAATAAATGGGTGCATTTATGCATTTTAGATTTTACATAACTGGCAGTAAGTCTGCCTTGACACTTTCCACTAAAGGCAGTTCATCAGGCTCTTATAGTACAGTGCAAAACTGGATTGCAGACCAGGGCAAACAGAAGATCCAGTGTCCACAACATGCTGATGTTGTTTATACTTTTTTTAACAATAATCAGGTATCACAAGTGTGATTTACCTTA